CCCACATTTTTTGTATCAAGATGGAGAAGAAGAAAGCTAAAGCCTTTCTTTCACAAAAATATATTTTTTTGTATCTGTCAAACACTGAAGGGAAAAACTGAGAAATCCCGTGGCATGAATCGCACGTTGAAAGGTCAGACCCACTCCTTCCTGAAAACTTCTCGAGGGTTGTTGTTCTTTCTGGGACGACAGCTGGTAGAAAATTACCCAAAAAAATGACACTAGAAATAATTTTAAAGAATAAGTTTTTATTGAAGCATACTAAGGTAATGTATAAAAGAGAATAAATGAGTTTTGCTCAAAATAGAGACTTCATTGTAGTGAAAATGAATTGTAACTACCTACTTACTGAATATCATTGAATATAATTTGAAATTATATTTGTATTTGCCAGGAAATGTGCAGGTTGTGAGAATTCTCAAGTCTCTTCTTAGATTTGATGAATTGTAAGTATTTCTTTTGTTAGCAGTTTGCTTGAGAAGCTAACCTGCATGGTAGGCTTATCTGCACCTATTTTTACAAGATATTTTTCTTGTTAGTTTTGAGCCATCTAGTTTTTTGACGAGTAGTAGGCATCTGCCATATTGGATTCAGAAAAACGTCAGTTTCCGTATCGTATTCCTCTCATCCAACCTTTCTCCATCTTTATTCAAAAAATCTGGGAATTTTCCAAAGAAAGTAAGAAAGCGATTGATTTCAAAATGAACTCTTTACCAGGATGTGTAAATTATGCAAAAAAGTAACTTTCACGACACATACTGTAAGAAAAAGCCATCTCGAAACAACTACTTTTATATGAAGATTGATTTATACAAAAATACAATTTCCAATTTAGTTTGTACTCCTAACATTCGTTATGGAATTGAATTAGATATTACTCACAGGATTGTTACATGAGAAGTAGAATTTCACTTACATGGAATACTGTCATCCTCAATGGTGAATGTTTGGAGTATAAACTGTTTAAATCATACGAACGACAACTCTCAGAAGTTGAGAAACTTGTGCGAGCTAAGGACTAACGAGCTCTTATCTTTTAACGTGTCATTCCTAAGTGTTTTTTGTATAATTCAATGTTTATATGAAAGTAGTTGTTTTGAGATGGCTTTTTCATTCAGTTTGTGTCTGAAAGTTACTTCTCTGCATGGAAGATTCCCACATGTTTTGTATGAAGATGGAGAAGTAGAAATTCAAAACCTTTTTTCCCCAAAAATGTATATCTCCTAAAAATATAACCTTTTCGATTCAAAGGATTGGATCAAATTGGGATTGACTTTACATGATCTACACATCTTTGTGAAGAGATTAATTTGAAATTACTTACTTGCTTTCTTTCTTTCTTTGAAAGATTCCCACATTTTTTTCTATAAAGATGGCAAAGTAGAAAGCCAACACCTTTCTGTTCTGATTAATTTTTTTAAAACGCTAACACCGGAATTATGACCAAAAAACAAAGCATATCAACTAGTATTTTTCATGTATTGTGTCAGTTTCAATTCAGCACAAAAACGACCCACGAAAAATCTTTGAACTTCAACATCTGTCTATAAAAATTATGGCAATGTTACTCTGTATAAATTATTTTGTAGACATCAAGAGAATTGTCAAATGAACGTCATCTGAAAATGTCGAAATAAAACCCAGTCAAAATTNTATGGCAATGTTACTCTGTATAAATTATTTTGTAGACATCAAGAGAATTGTCAAATGAACGTCATCTGAAAATGTCGAAATAAAACCCAGTCAAAAATTGAAACTAATTTAGGAAATGATTTCCCAAAATCTCGTTGAAAGTAAGTGACAACATTTAATCGTGGTTCTGTGATACTGAATTATGACAGATGTTGATTTCAGTTGCTAAAATTACTGCCTGCGTTGTGATCATCATTGCCGGAATCAGATATATAAGGCGATAGAAGATTTTTCAAGAGGTATATCCATGAAAAATGTTTTTGGTGTGTGATGTAATATAACCTCATTTTCCCCTATAATATATTGTTTTGAATATAGCTCAGTATTTATTATTCTACATGAGCTTAGGAAACTGCTGCTAGTGTGAAAGATGAAAATTGTGTCTGCAATTTGCTTTGAAAGAAAGGTCATTGAAAGTAATAAAATGGACTTATATTAAAATAATTAAGATTTCGATCTGTTTCTTGAAGTTAACTTCAAAGTATTTTACTTTTTTTCTTATGAAAACACTTGAGGGAGCTATCAAAACACGTGCTGAAATTTTTTAAAACTTTCCAGTGAAAATCTCACAATGTAGTGTTACTTCAATAACTTTTTCTTTTATTTCTTTCAAGTACTCATAGTAATGGTGGTTGAAATATCCCTGCGTATAGAAAAAGGTTAAAAAATTAGGACCGTATTTTCATTTTATGAAAAAGTATAGCTTTTGATTGGTACAACTGATGATTGTTATGATTACTCTCTAACTTTTTATGGTCACTTTATCAGATTTTGATATTGACAGTGTATTTACTCAGGTGTGTAGCGAAGTGGGTCGACTTGATGAAAATCCATAACGTATTGAAGTAATACTTTATTCTGAGATTTTCACTGAACAGTTTACAAAATCCCAACACGTGTTTCACGTGTTAAGTATTACTTGAATATTTATAAAGGTGATTGACGAGGAGTCAATCAAGAACTTGAAATTTTGTCGTTTTGACTGCAGTTGAAAAAAAAATATGGAGAATCCGAAGAAACAAAAATGTAGAAAAGAACCGACATCTGTTTCATGTGTTAAGTATTACTTGAATATTTATAAAGGTGATTGACGAGGAGTCAATCAAGAACTTGAAATTTTGTCGTTTTGACTGCATTTGAAAAAAAAATATTGAGAATTCGAAGAAACAAAAATGTAGAAAAGAACCGACATCATTTTTACAAATTATATATGAAAGAAAGATCAAATATGAACAGAAAATATAATGGAAAGAATGTTTCGACCCTACTTCTGGTTCTGAGCACAATAGAATAAGTAACAAGAGTTTTAAATCTTTATAGAAATTGGAATTGAANTCATCGAATTGTAAATCTAGCCGAGGAAAAAATACTAGAAATATAATACAAAAAAATCATGTTGCTGAAAGTATGCTGATATGTGATATGAAACATGGCATGGCAATACTCAAAAAGAAAGCAGAACTAGTGTATGGTTAAAATCATTCCCTGACTAAAAAAACTCCGACCGCCGCTGGTCAACCGATTGGTACTCGGCCAAGGTAGCGCTCATTTCGACTTACGCTTCGCGATTGTTCCAGATGTCGCGTTGCTTCGAAAGACTTCTAGCGACTTCCCTATCGGCTTCCAGAGATTTCCATTACCATATATAAATACCATCAACACGCAGATCGGGAAAATTTCATTGAAAGTGTGGTACGACGTAATCTAATAAGGCGATAGATGAACATCTGGATGGCAAGAAGATTTATGGACTTCGGGCAGAATCTTCCAGGAGTGGCTCACTCCAAGGCGTTTATTCACCCTTCGAAGCTTGATACCAAACAAATGTTGGACTACAGTAGAAATGAACTAGGATCTCTAACAGGCCTTCTTACAGGTCATTGAATCATCATATGCAGAAACTTGGACTGTCAGAAGACAGTGTGTGTTGCCTCTGTTTGGAATATGATGGAACAGCAGAGCATATACTTTGTGCCTGCCCCGCTGGGGACCGAATCAGGTTCTTAGAGTTTGGCAGAGCCGTACTCTTACCATCTGACGTGAAAGACCACTCACCACTCAAAATAATCGGCTTCGTTAAGAAGCTGGGTTTGTTTGGCCAAGTGTGAATAGGTGTAAGCCACAATAAACCCTTGTGGTGGAGGGTTGAATTGACCCACTCACTTTAGACCTAACCTAACCTAAGGCGATAGATATTTGAGTATTAGTCCTAAGTTTCAATTAAAGTGTTTGTGTTGTATTGTTAGTGTAGCAGTGAAATAAAGTTGAGTTTAATTGTACTAACCCGCGGGAAAAACGTAACAGTATTCTTGTCTTAACAATGAAACTGGAAATGGTTGAATAGATGATTTTAGATGTATGAAGCAGGGAGTTCACTAAGTTTTTGCAATATAAAAGCGTCGTTTATACTACTTTATCGAAGACTGGAATATTTTCAACAAATAGTTTCGGCAAAAAATACTTCATTTTTGTTCAGTCCATTTTTATTTTCGAAAGTTTATGTGTGCCTATCCAATCGATATATTTCCAAAGTCTTTGGCTATATCTTGCAAGAGGGTTTAGTAATTAAACTACAATGTCGGGGCTTGCCAAATCGTATTTTTTCCTGACTGTTTCAGCTTTCTCACTGAATGTTTCTTACAAGTAGTCATCGATAGTTCTCTTACGGATACCATCACCATCAATACTGGTGTTCCTCTGGGACTCATATTGTTTCTAACCAACAAAAGATTTCATATTATTGTGAATTATCCCCTGGAAAAAAAAGCAGGCTACTGGTCGCCACCGATCGACTGCGACTTGGTCAAGGTCGCGCTCACCCCCACTTAAAGCCCTTGTTCCTTTTGGATGCTGTGGCACTTCGAGAATTGTTCCACTGGCTTCCGAAGACTTCCATCGAGATATATAAGCATTACCAACACATAGACGAGTCTAGTTCGGAAAGTGCAGTGCGAAACGAGTTAATAAGGCGATAGATTTGTGATCATTAGTCATTAGTAAGAAGGTGAATGTGAAAAAACCGGATATCATAATGTAAAAGTACCCAGTTTCGATGACTGAGTCGAATAATTTGTTGGGTATCAACTGGAAATCAATATCTAAAAAAACTTTTCAGAAAGATTTGCACACCCCCATCATCTTGTAATGGTGTATAAAGCTTAAATTGGACCTTCTATGGAATACTGCTTACTGTGATAGACCGATACGGTTGGAAAAACTTGCACAAGAGTTGTATTTTTAGTTTCAGAATTTGAAGTATGGAAAAGATGGATGGCTATACCTAGTACCTCATAATTATATACTTTTGTTAAAAGTGATTTTATTTTACTCGTGAGTTTGCTCCACTTGCTGACGCTCGTTTTGCAATAATCCCCACTCACAAAATAAAATGCCACTTTCAACACTTGTAGGTAAAACGTGAATAACTATTTTTCCACAAAAACGGCTTTATTTATGGAAATATTAGTAATTTCAGCACGCCCTTTATGATATGGAGTCGATTTCTTGGTGTTGTTTGAATATTTCGAGTTTGTCCAAACTATCATCAAAATATCAACTTTTCATGAACTGAGAGTACTGATGTACTTAATTTCAATTAAGGCTATGTTTTGGACCATATTGAGCACAATTTATTTTTTATCTCGAAAACAGATAGAGATAGGTATAGGACATTATCAACAAAAAAGTATTAAAATACTAGAGCGATTCCAAAAATGTATTAATATATGGGGTGTTCCATTAAAAAAAATATAATTGCTAGGACTTTTTGATAGAAGTGGCAACGCCGCAATGCTGAAAATATTTTAGATCGATAGAACAGGTAAGGAAATGTAAGAGGTGGAATTTTCAGAAAAATCATGCTTTGCGTTTTCCAGAAACGTGTAAACTACCATCGACGTGAGTCACGCTGTATAAAAGAAAATTTTGTAGTTGCTGTTTTTGGGATTGGCAAGGATAAATTCCGACTTTCTCTCGTGTAGAAATATCTGTCATTATTTGCTGCTGAGTTAGAGTACTTTTTGTGAATTAGGCAAACGGTTTCTAAAAGGAATAAACAAGCTACAGTAAGAATTTTTTGACTGATAAAAAGTGGTTTGCAGTGATCTTGTGATTTTGCCCTACATATTAAAAACCTAGGTATTATTTTTGATTCTGACCTAAAATTTGATTTGCATTTGAATGATTTGCTCAGAAAATCGTTTGGGACTCTCAAACTGATTTATTCAAATAGATAGATATTTTTTCAGTCGACCAATCAGGAAACTTCTCACTGAGTCGTTGGTCTTATCACGGTTCAACTATGGTGACATTGTGTACAGCAATCTTTTAAGTAAATTTGATTTAAATCGGAAACAGAAAGTACAGAACTTCTGTTGTAGACTTATCTATTCTTTAAGAAAATTCGATCATGTCTCGAATAAAATCAAAGAATTAAATTGGCTAACAATGATCAATCGTACTAATTATAATCTTTGCAATTTTGTGTACAAAGTATTGAGTTACAAAATTCCCACATCACTTTACAATAAACTGATTCCTAGGTCTTTGCTACATTCATTGGATGTAAGATCAAAAAATAAACTGCATGTCCCTCGTCATAAGACGTCACTGTTTCAGAGGTCGTTCACTTATCTCTCCATCAAATTCTACAACTCACTGTTATACAATTGTATGCAACTTTCGAAGGGAGAGTTAAGAATCATTCTGAAAAAAACATTTTCTGAAAAACACTTCCTGAATACCAACAGGAACTTGAGTGCCGTGTCCTGAATTTATCTTTAACCTTTACTTACCTTGTCACAATATGTCATCTAGATACCTATACCTATGATATAAATTATTATTATGTTATGCGTTTTTTTCATCGTGTCTTTCTCTCTATTTATCATTTTAGTTGATTAGAATTGTACATTTTAGGTTAAGTGTAAGAGTAGCCTTTGGCTAAACTGCGCCTATTTTGTACCTTCACCAATAAAGACGATTTATTATCCCTTTTTTGTAAAACGAATACTGAATTCACTAGTTGCTGACTACAAAAGCCCCAAAAGTCGATTCCATATCTCAAGTGCGACTCTATCAAGGAAAAATACACAGTTCTGGTTGAGGATTGACCGAGTTCGTTAGAAACAACTTCAACTGCGTAGCAGCCAGATGCTATTTTTTGCATAAATTTGTTATATGCTCATCAAATTTTAATTTATCACCTATAAATACCCCTAAAAATTTTGTGTGAATTTTGTTAACCATAGCGTAATTTTCTATAAGTAAGTCGTTAAAATTGAGTTTGAAGCAAACTATGTTTGTTTTATTTGTGTTG